CAACTCAGACTAACCTGAGCACAACCAAACAGAACACTCCCCCAGCCAATCAGAGCACAGCCAACCCCCCAGCCAATCAGAGCACAGCCAACCCCACAGCCAATCAGAGCACAGCCACGCCCCTAAACAATCAGAACACACCTCCACCCAATCAGAACACAGCCAAGCTCCCACCCAATCAGTTCATACCCCACTGGCAGTTAAAAGGAAGAAACAGCTAAGACCACACATTGCTGCTCAAAGCACGAAGCTGAAAACACCAGCCTGAAGATGATGAATGGGACTTCGTCGAAACGTCGCCAAGACACGTCCAATTTTTAACGCGGGAAGAAACCTCGACAACCAAAGAACCTACTATATATATAATATTTATATATATATATTATATATAGATATTATATATATATATATATAATAGGTCTTTGGTTGTTCGGGTTTTCTCCCGCGTAAAATTGGAAGTGTCTTGGCAACGTTTCGACGAAGTCACATGCGTCATCTTCAGGCTGGTGTTTTTAGCTTCTTGCTTTGAGCAGCAATGTGTGGTTTTAGCTGTTTCTTCCTTTTAACTGCCAGTGAGGGTATGAACTGATTGGATGGGAGCTTGGCTGTGTTATGATTGGGTGGAGGTGTGTTCTGAATGGTTAGGGGCTTGGCTGTGCTCTGATTGGCTGGGGGAGTGTTCTGTTTGGTTGTGCTCAGGTTAATCTGAGTTGCAGAGGGGTTTAAGTTTTTTGTGTTAGGGAGTCGTTTGTCAATAAGGGTGGGTTTCCAAATGCTGGTAGGCGGGAGGTATCATCTCGCTTGTTCATGCTGTGTGGGCGTTTTTCTATCTCAATGGCTTCTCTGATTATTCTGTTATTAAAATGTTCACTTTTGGCAATGGTTCTGGTATTTTTAAAGTCAATTTCCTGTGGCTTTAAGGTGTTGGACCAGGGAAGATGTTGGTTCCTCTTTTTTGACTGAGTTCTTATGTTCTACAATGCGTGCACTTATTCTTCTGTTGGTTTGTCCGATGTATGTGGTGGGACAAGTGGTGCATGGGATTTCGTATACTCCTTGATTTTCTAATTCAATTTTATCTTTGGGGTTTCTAAGGATGGTGGATATTTTTCTGTTTGTGCAGAATGCTGTTTTGATGTTGTGTTTATGGAGGATCTTACTGATTCTATCTGTGGTGCCTTTTATGTATGGGAGGAGGCTTTGCCGTTTTCTTGTTCTTTGTCTTGGATTTTAGTGGGGGTTTCTTTTTGGATTAGGTTTGTAATCTTATTTCTATGGAATCCATTGGATGTTAGTACATTGGTGAGAGTGTGTAGTTCGGGTTTTAGGTGTTGTTCGTCAGCTAAGCGTTTTGTTCTGGAGATGAGTGTCTTGGCTACAGAGTTGATCTGTGCTGGGTGGTGGTGTGAGAGAGCGTGTAGATAGCGGTTTGGGTGTGTTTTCTTCTGGTAGATGGTGTGTCCTAGGGAGCCATTGGATTTCTTGTAGACTAAGACATCCAGGAAGGGAAGTTGGTTGTTAGTTTCTGTTTCCATGGTGAACTGTATTTTGGGGTGTAGGCTGTTGAGGTGTGTGAGGAAGTTGTCCAGTTTTTCTTTCCCATGTGGCCAGATTATGAAGGTGTCGTCTATGTATCTGAGCCAGAGTTTGGGTTTGTGATCCGATTTTTCTAGAGCTTGGGTTTCAAAGTGTTCCATGTAGAGGTTGGCAATGACAGGTGAGAGGGGTGATCCCATGGGTGCTCCTTCTGTTTGTTTGTATTTTTGTCCATTATAGATGAAGTATGTGTTGGATAGCCAGTGGTTGGTCAGATCTAAGATGTGTTTGGGGGGGTTATATTTGTTTTGAATAGCTGTCAAGGCTTCTTTGATAGGCACTTGGGTGAAGAGGGATATTACATCGAAGCTCACTAGTAGGTCGCTGGGCTGTAAGCTTTGTTTCTTTATGATCTCTATAAACTGGAATGAGTTTTTTACGTGTGAGGTGATGGATTCTGCATAGGCCTGTAGTTGTTTGGCGAGAAATTTGGCTAGGTTTTGTAGAGGTGAGCCTATGGAGCTGACTATAGGTCTGAGTGGGGTTCCTTCTTTGTGGATCTTGGGGAGACCATAGAGTTTAGGGCATCTGGATGATTTCTCTCTGGGAATGATTCTTTGCTGGATCTCTTCGCTAATTGGGGAGGCTTTTATCTTGGTTCTGGTGGTTTTTTCCAGGTAGGTGGTGGGATCTGTATTTAGGGGTTTGTATGTGGAGTCTTGGAGTAGGTTGGTTAATTTGGTTTGGTAGTCAGATGTGTTCAGAACCACCGTGGCGTTGCCCTTGTCTGCTGGTAGGATTATTATGCTGGTGTCTTCTTTCAGGTTACGTAGTGCTGTCTGTTCCTCTTTGGGTAAGTTGCTTTTGGGTGGCTTGCTGGTGCAGAGGAGGTTGGTGATTTTGAGTCTGATTTTGTTAGCCTCATCGGGGTTGATTTTGGTCAGGCTGGTTTCAACTCCACATATAATGGTTTCAGTGGGGATGTGTTTGGGAGCGACTGCAAAGTTGAATCCTTTGGAAAGGACATTGGTTTCGGCTTTGGTGATGATCCTATCTGAGATGTTATGCACTGTTTGCTTCATGTGTGGCTGTGAGGGAGGAGGGGTTTGTTTCTGGCGTTCTTGTAGTCTTCGTAGTTTTTGTTGGTGGTGTGTATCATGTCTTGAGGTGGTCTGTGTTTCGGCTCTCTAGACACGGCGAGTTGTTTTGGATTTGTCCCAAAGTGCGGGGTGGATCTTGTTGCTTGAGTTTGAGGTGGAGTGTGAGGAGATTCTTTGTTATTCGATCTAATGGAGGAATCTTTTTGTGTGAAGTTCATTTCTGATTAGGGCCACTTCTGTTCGTTTCAGGATCCGTTTGGTGGCTGCAGAGTTGGAGTGGAATTTCAGTTGGAAACATGTGGGGATTAGATTTTGATCTCGGCAGTTACGTAGGAATGCGAGGTCACATAAAATGGAAGCTCTTTGGGCTTCAAGTTTTTCATAGGTCCTGGTCAGATGGTGGATTTCCTCCCCGTAGAGGTTCGATATTTGTTTTCTGAGGTTTTCGCGGGTATTTGTATATAGGTCTTTGGTTGTTCGGGTTTTCTCCCGCGTAAAATTGGAAGTGTCTTGGCAACGTTTCGACGACGTCACATTCGTCATCTTCAGGCTGGTGTTTTTAGCTTCTTGCTTTGAGCAGCAATGTGTGGTTTTAGCTGTTTCTTCCTTTTAACTGCCAGTGAGTGTATGAACTGATTGGATGGGAGCTTGGCTGTGTTCTGATTGGGTGGAGGTGTGTTCTGAATGGTTAGGGGCTTGGCTGTGCTCTGATTGTCTGGGGGAGTGTTCTGTCAGCTACACCCCAAAATACAGTTCACCATGGAAACAGAAGCTAACAACCAACTTCCCTTCCTGGATGTCTTAGTCTACAAGAAAGCCAATGGCTCCCTAGGACACACCATCTACCAGAAGAAAACACACACAAACCGCTATCTGCACGCTCTCTCACACCACCACCCAGCACAGATCAACTCTGTAGCCAAGACACTCATCTCCAGAACAAAACGCTTAGCTGACTAACAACACCTAAAACCCGAACTACACACTCTCACCAATGTACTAACATCCAATGGATTCCATAGAAATAAGATTACAAACCTAATCCAAAAAGAAACCCCCACTAAAATCCAAGACAAAGAACAAAAAAACGGCAAAGCCCTCCTCCATACATAAAAGGCACCACAGACAGAATCAGTAAGATCCTCCATAAACACAACATCAAAACAGCATTCTGCACAAACAGAAAAATATCCACCATCCTTAGAAACCCCAAAGATACAATTGAATTAGAAAATCAAGGAGTATACGAAATCCCATGCACCACTTGTCCCACCACATACATCGGACAAACCAACAGAAGAATAACTGCACGCATTGAAGAACATAAGAACTCAGTCAAAAAAGAGGAACCAACATCTTCCCTGGTCCAACACCTTAAAGCCACAGGACATGAAATTGACTTTAAAAATACCAGAACCATTGCCAAAAGTGAACATTTTAATAACAGACTAATCAGAGAAGCCATCGAGATAGAAAAACGCCCACACAGCATGAACAAGCGAGATGATACCTCCCGCCTACCAGCCATTTGGAAACCCGCCCTCATTGACCAAAGAAACACTCCCTAAACCCCAAAATCTTAAACCCTCCCCGACCCCTCTGCAACTCAGAACTCAACCTGAGCACAACCATAACAGAAACAACCTTACACTTGTGCCCCCAGACCAATCAAAAAGCAAACGAGACAGCAAGCGACCCCTAAAACCATTCTCATAATTGTCCAAGAACACAACAAACAGTGAACACCTCCCAAGCACCTCCACCGACAATCAGAACACAGCCAAGACTCACGCATCCAATCAGTTCATAATAAACATAGAGATCAATATTCATATCAGTTCATACCACTCACTGAAACACTTTCAGTTAAAAGGAAGAAACAGCTAACACCACACACTTGCCTGCGTTTGCTTGCTCACTTTTTGCTTTGCCCTGCCTTTGTCTCTCCTTGCGTCAAAGCAAGAAGCTAAAAACACCAGCCTGAAGATGACGAATGTGACTTCGTCGAAACGTTGCCAAGACACTTCCAATTTTATGCGGGAGAAAACCCGAACAACCAAAGACCTATATACAAATACCCGCGAAAACCTCAGAAAACAAATATATATATATATATATACCTTGAATGAACACCCTGTCAGCCCAAATATGGGAGAAAGAAATCTTCTTTCTTTTCTTTTCTGAGGTTTTCGCGGGTGTTTGTATGTAGGTCTTTGGTTATTCGGGTTTTCTTCCGCGTAAAATCCAATTTTACACGGGAGAAAACCCAAATAACCAAAGACCTACATAGATAGATAGAGAGAGAGAGAGAGAGAGAGAGAGAGATAGAGATAGAGATAGAGATAGAGATATATAGAGAGATAACAGAAAACAAATATAGAGATATATATATAGAGAGATATATATCTGGAGAAGAACTAGATGTAGTCGACAACTACATATATCTTGGCCAATGGATCTCAGTGGAAGATGATACAATAAAAGAAATTGAACGGTGTGTTAAATGTGGTTGGCAGGCATTCGGCAAACTAAGCATAATTTCCTCCTATGCTTGAAAAGTTTTCGATCAGTGTGTGCTACCTGCTCTAGCATATGCCAGTGAAACATGGACACTAACCACACAGTTGATACAAAAGCTAAGAGTGGCGCAAAGAATCTAAAAAGATACACGCTCAGCATCACAAGACAAGATAGAAAGACTCGCACATAGATTAGAGAACAAACGAAAGCATACGATGCCATCAAGAGAGTAAAAGAATGGAAATGGTCATATAGAAAGAAGAACTGATGGCAGGTGAACCAAGGCAGTCATAGAATGGATCCCACTTGATAAAAAGCGTCCACGAAAAAGACCTAGAACAAGATGGATTGACGACCTCAGCCAAGTATGGCTTGCCCAATTGGCAAAAGAAAGCTTGGGATCGTATTGGTTGGAAACATGTGGAAGAGGCGTTCATCCTGCAGTGGATAAAATGATGGTGGTGGTGATGATAATGATGATGATGATGATGATGAGGGGAAGAACAAAGAGTACTGTGCCCCAGCCCTCTGTTTATTTTTATATACAATAAGCTCAGTAAGTTATATACAGACTTACATTTATGTACAATGTGCTCTGTAATTGCTTTATCCCATAATGGTGAGCCGTTATTTATTATAACTCTGGTTTATTTATGAAACCAAGTTACTTACAAATTATGTTCATTAGTTTGAGGTAGAAAACCTGGAATGGCTGGTTTGTTATTTTAATTTGGGTTAAATGAATTATTAATATGTCTAAATTTTGTATCTTCCTTTACTCAACAATGTATTTCGTTGTTCTATCTATCCTCTGACTACAAAGATGTGAATACAAAGCAGCCTTGAAGAAAAAGTAAATTCCTTTACTTTCCATTAAAAAAAAAAGACATTAAATACACATCTGATCCTAGCAAGCTGTAGTAAACCTCACCAAATGTGTTTGCTAGTTTTAGTTAAAAGCCTAGTCAGCTAAAACTATCCTGTTAAGCCAGTGGTTCTCAATCTTTTTAATGCCGTGACCCCCAACTGGTTGTAATCGAAGACTATTCAACCGGCCGTAAGTCGAGGACTACTCACCTGGTGCAGCACCGTTTGCAGAATGGGACTTTTGGCGGGCTCAGCAGGGCAGAGACAGCCTGGACAATTCCTATTGGCTTTTGAAAGCCAATAGAATTAGACTCTATTCAAGAGAGTCTATTCTATTGGCTTTCAAAAGCCATAGAATAAAAGGGAGTAGCACAGCTAAGGAAAAGGGGGAAAAATGGCAGACTGCGTTGTTTGGCGACCCCCGTGAAATGGTCGTTCGATCCCAAATGGGGTCCCGACCCACAGGTTGAGAACCACTGTGTTAAGCGGTGGGGCTTTTTTTTTTGCTACAATTCATCTCACTTTATCTCTTCAGCATTTGCAGTATTTTAACATCTGATTTGCTGGTTGTTTCCTAATAAAATTTTAATTAATAAGGAAAATTTGTTTACTGAAAGAACATATATAGCAGAAAGGACTTTTTCCTTAAAAGTTTTAAAAAGAATGCAAGGCATGGGAGGCATATTTGAGAATGTTAATTTTCCTCTTGTCAAAAAAAGTCTCAAAATTTCTCTTGCTACTTGCCCCTTATACTACTGTTTGGCTGCAAGGAATATACTTTGCTACTCTGCAGTTTAGAAAGTGCTTCACAGTCAAGAGTAGAGTAGCTAGAAACAACAATAGCTAATTTTAATAGGGAAGTATGCTATGGTTTTCTTGGCTATGAACCAGATTTAGCTTATTCTACAAACTAGATTAAAGCTAATTAAAACTTAGCATCATATCTGTCTTCCACCAATGCTGCCATTTGTGCCATAGTGCAAAAAATTCAGGTATAATTTCCCAAATGCTTGGTGATTTAGTTGTTCCACAGCAGGGGTAGTCAACCTTGGCTCTTTTATGACTCGTGGACTTCAACTCCCAGAATTCCTGAGCCAGCTAAGCTGGCTCAGGAATTCTGGGAGTTGAAGTCCACGAGTCATAAAAGAGACAAGGTTGACTACCCCTGTTCTACAGAAACATGACGGATACATGTTCAGTTACAAAAATAGCTCTGTACTTGGTAACACGTAAAATATCTTTGGGACTATTCAGTACAAAAGCATGTTTTAATTAATTGCTATAATTTTTAAATGGTGACCATAGTGTACTTACAGTATTGCAAAAAAGATAAATTATGTTTTAAGATTTTCTAAATCCCTCATTTATTAGCCAATTAAAGGATACCTTAAATGGGAAAGACCGTGAACTTGCCAGTCTCCACCGCCAGTTTGATGGAATACACTCAGAGCTTGGGGAAACTGCCAGAATAAAAGAAATGGCTTTGAAGGAAAACAGAAGATTACAGGATGATCTAGCCACAATGACTAGAGAAAACCAGGTACAAAGTAATTCATATCGTACACATGGCTGGCTGAGGAATTCTGGGAGTTGGAATCCACAAGTCATAAAGTGGGCAGGGTTGGGGACCCCTGCTGTAGTGAATTCTTTTCCTTCCTTGCCTTTCACTTCTGACCACTCTTTTTCTAGCATTCCAACTTGAACATGTATTTCTAGTTTAGCTAACTGTGATAGCTAGACTATCTCAGACTGTTCTCCTTCCCAGTTATTTTTTTTTTCAATGCTTTCAACTGTTATTCTGAATGACAATGTTTTCTCCTATCATGGTTAAAACATCAGAGACTCATAGTTATTCTTCTCTGTATTTACTGATAAAGATAAATCCCTCATGGCTATATATTTCACAATTTTTCCAGAAAAAGTTCTGTAACGGCCTGCTTGAATGTATATTCAATTTATGTGTTTTTTTCTAGTGTGGTAACTGTTCTAGTTTAATGTTGACTGGTATAAACGTTGAATAATTATATCACTTAAAATGTTTAATTAGGTATCAGTTAACTTTTTTAAAGTTATAGTATTAATACCAATATGAGCACTGCCAATGCCAAGTATCAATGCCAAAATAGGCATTGTCCCAAATTTTCCATAAGGAAAATTACTTACCCATAGATTGGAAGTCACAAGACTGAATGCTGATTTTTTTTTGTTCTTTTAATTTGCATAATTAATAACCAAGAGAAATGCTGTTATGAGCTGCCTCTCTGTTGGTTCAATTTTGATATGGAATAGATCATATTTAAGTGTACTGCTTGGCCAGCGTGTGGCTTATTTACTTTGTGAATAATATGTCTAACAGTATGTAATTTAAACAGGTGATCTCGACTGAATTGGAAGTAACGTTACGTGAAAAAGAAGAACTGAAAGTTAGAGTTCATAATTACATTACTGAAGTGTCCAGATTTGAAAGTTTAATATCCTTAAAGGTGAGAAATATTATTAAAATACTAGCTGTACCCAGCCACGCGTTGCTGTGGCTCAAGAAAGAAAAGAGAAAGCTCACATTTGTAATATGTTTAATTTCACAATGCTTGTGAGTATACAATATTTTTTGTTGTTCCATTGTGTGTGCAGATATACAGATTACGTTCAACAGATGGCGCTGTTTTTCCAAAAAAGCATGTTTTTACATGTTTTCAAAAAATCATGTTTTTACCTGTCACAGGTGTGACATCTATATAATATAGGTATATAAAAACACGCACATATTCGAATGCAACATTGTATCAAAATTTCAAAGCAATCGGTGAAGAACTTTCGTAGATTTAAGATTTTGAACAAAAGAACATTTACATTTTTATTTATATAAGAAGATTATCTTTTTAATAAATCAATTTTGGTTTGGGGCTTTCAAGTCACTATTGGTCACTACACAACTCAAGCCACCACATGGAAAAGTCCATACAGTTTCCTTGGCGACATATTTGGAAGTGGTTTACCGTTGCTTTCTTCCTATGGCCGAGAGGAGATAATAATAATAATAATAATAATAATAATACCACTTGAACACCATTGGCATTGACAAATTTGCTATTAGTCAATTGCAAAAGGCGGCCTTACTAGGAACTGCTTCCATCCTGCAACGATATCTGTAATACCATCAAACATCCACATCTGCCTATCCCAGATCCTGGGTAAGGACTCAATAGGTAGACAAAATGCCAAATCCAGTCTGAACATCTGGCTGATTGTGCGATGATCCATAATAATAATAATAATAATAAAAGTTGGAAGGGACCTTGGAGGCCATCAAGTCCAACCCCCTGCTCAGGCAGGTAACCCTATACCATTTCGGACAAATGGCTGTCCAGTTTTTTCTTAAAAACTTCCAGTGTTGAAGCATTCACCGCTTCTGGAGGCAGGTTGTTCCACTGGTTAATTGTTCTAACTGTCAGGAAGTTTCTCCTTAGTTCTAGGTTACTTCTCTCCTTGGTTAGTTTCCATCTGTTGCTTCTTGTCCTGCCCTCAGGCGCTTTGGAGAATAGCTTGACTCCCTCTTTGTGACAGCCCCTGAGATATTGGAACACTGCTATCATGATTCCCCTCGTCCTTCTCTTCACTAAACTAGACATATCCAGTTCCACCAACTGTTCCTTATATGTTTTAGCCTCCAGTCTCCTAATCATCTTTGTTTCTCTTCTCTGTACTCTTTCTAGAGTCTCAACATCTTTTTTACATCGTGGTGACCAAAACTGGATGCAGTATTCCAAGTGTGGCCTTACCAAGGCATTGTAAAGTGGTATTAATACTTCACGTGATTTAGAGTGACTGGTCCAAACTCACCCACCGCTTCGTGTCCAAGGCAGGACTAGAATTCATGGCCTCCCAGCTTCTAGCCTTCAACTATTGTATAAATTCAAAAATAAAATGTATCTTATTTAAATTTTATAAATAAGCTAAATTTTATAAAATTTAAATAAGATACATTTTACGCAAGGAAAAATTCTTCAAAATTCATACATTTTACGCAAGGAAAAACGATACATTTTACTCAAGGAAAAATTCTTCAAAATTCAAAAATTAAGCACGCAAGGAAAAATTCTTCAATCTATTCTTTTACGAGAAAAGAGTAACATTGAGGGAATGTCCTTTCTTAGCCTTATAATATTTAAGCCACATGCCACAAGCTTCCACCATTTCTATGAAAATTAGGAAGGGTATTATTAAGAATTATCATCGGATTTAAAACAAGCTGGGACTTTGTCACAGAGGCACAATTGTGATCGAGCCATTAATATACACATATAAGTAGGTATATCTAGGCATATATAGATGTCTAGGTTTGTTGTATTTAAAAATTCCAGTATGTAACTAGTGTATATACATACAGATG